CAAAATAGTAGTAAAATTTCGACCTCCGAGCAAGGGGCTCAGGAAGCGCAAATTAAGTTTGTATTCGTGTAGACTAAATTTATATTCGCCAATTTTCCCAAAAAAGCAGCAGATTTTTGGGCAAATTAGTTTCGGGAAACTACGCGCACGCGCTCTATACCAGGCTAAATCGTAATATTAGTAGTAATATAAATATTAATCCATATAAGGTAAAATCCTTTAATAAAATTAAATTAAATATTATTATATAATATTATATTTTTTCCAAAATTTCTATATATTCTTTAAAATAAATATATATAAGCCCCTAAAATCAAATTATAAAATTTATTCGCAATAATTACAACAAAAAATAATAAAGCATAATATATATATATATTTATCAAGATAATTATATAAATATTTACGATACCTCATTTTAGATTTATTTTATATGAGAATTTATAGGGAAAACCGGGACCCAAGACCCGGATAATTCCACCCATACAATCGAAAAACATATAGCCATCCCACAAAAACCATTTGATGCAAAAAAAATTAATAGGCCAAAGGCCCATACCCAAGATTAAAACAATCATATATCATTCCAGGTAAATAATTAAATTATGTTAAAGTTATTTCATTTTTTAAATAAAATGTTAAATTTTATATTTCTAAATTATGAGATTTAAAATAATAATCATTAAATATTTATCTATATATAGATTTATAAATATTATTTTATGGTATTTCCGTCTAGCCACATAGACTCAGTCATAACTCAGTCATAACTCAGCCACAAACAGAAACGGCCCCGGCGAACGACGAGGTCTGCTGCTCAGCTCTACAGGATGAAGTATTCGTCTCTGGCTTTGCAGAATCCGGTAAGGTTTGGTAAGGTGGTAGGTACCTCAAGAATTTTCAAGATGACCATAATAAGTGCATCAATACTCCAAGAGTAAAAAGTAACGGCGAACAAAGAAATTGTTGTGTGTTGTTCTTCTCTGCCATCATTGGACGGATAGGATTTAATGGCTAAAGAACACGTCGAAAGTGTCACGTAGGATATTTGTGGTGTCTTGAAATCTTTCAGAGACCATAATTCTAAATGCTTTTCAACAGGGTTCCCTGCGCCATTGTATTATGTATATGTACTTATATTGCATTCTGTTGCATTCTGTTGCATTCTGTTGCATTGTGCAGCATGTTTGAATTTTCTAAACACGTCTTAGCGCTATAGTCACTAAAGTCGTCTATAGGTCTTTGTGATTCTGTGTGGGTCTTGATCTTCGCCTTGGTGGGTCTTGGCATTGGTGACGGTTTCAGCAAACCTCCAGGGTCGCCTTTAGGCCCAGCTCGGCTGGCCGGCAGCTCTTGCGAGGGGTTGGCATCGGCTTCTCAAGATTCGTTTTGATTTCGGTGTGCAATGGCCATTTGCCATGCTGCCATGGTTTTTTCCATGGTTTGCCATGGGGAGCCCACACCTCGCCATGGGCGGCCTCTCACAGTTTTGCCTCACCTGAGAGGATGCGGTCACTTCAACGCAGGCATGCCATCTTAGCTTATTGCAATGGCAACTTATGAGCGATTCGGCATTTTCATCGGATGAGAATTTTTGAATCCAGGTACCTTCGCGGAATTACTGCAGAAACCCGCCAGCTAGAGTCTGATCAGTACGGAAAGAGACTGCAAAGCAAAGTCAATTGAAGAAACATACCCCAAACTACCTAACAGAATGATAAAATAAATGGTTTCGGATTTCGAGGGATAATATGGAGGGGGGACTGATGAAAACCTAAGGGATAAGCCGGGATTACATTACTAAACAAGATCACACAACTTCCAAAGCGATTTTTCTGGTCAAGTCATACTTGACATCTGCATGCATCTGCCTGAAACATCTTGAAATCATAAAATCGACACATCAAAACACGCGCAAG